TAATAACTTTCAACGTAAATATTATTGAAGTCGACAAACGCAATTTACAAATTTAATTCCTCAACTTCATAATAAGAGTCGTGTGGTTTCCCCCCTACATTTTGTACCACCTAGAAGTCGGCCGTTAATCGAAGTCCTGTTGAATTAGAGTTTAACCGTAAATTATCGTAAAACGAATCCCGAGTATAAGCCCGGATTAAAGGGAGTCCAGGGAACGCCACGGCCAGTCTCCGAAGGACTCGGGTTTTAGCTACAGTATTATTTATGGTTTTTCTCACGTTAAAACGTATTGACGAGTAATAATTTTTTAAACGAAGTCGCAATTGGTTTTCGAGCGGAAGTCTCGTCGAAACGTTTGATCCCGGGGCAGGTTTTAATAAGCGCACATAGGGGGGGGGGGGCGGGGCTTAAGTGGTGCTTGAGACTTTAGATTAGCACCACCGGTTTTCCGGAATAATTCATCTCGGTATATATCACCGATAGTTTGTACATTTTTGTGGTTTATTGGTTTGGATAAAATATTTATTTTTTTTTTCCATTACAAGTCTAGTAATTCACGATATTGTGTGAAACGGTTAGCTATGCAATTACATTCCGTTTATAACAGCACACAAGTTTAAAACTATCGTGACTTGGCTAATTGTGGTGCTAAGGGGTCGTGTGAGGCGAATCTTCGCGCCACAACCGTTTCCAACGAAGTGCGCCGTTGAGCTAGTGGCGCAGCACTGTGGCCGATCCGGAATCCGTACGGCGACCGCGTCCGAAGGCGAGCGTCCGCAGTTCCGGATCGTGTGCGCGTCGTCGGATCGACAGTAGCGATCCGCGCCGAAATACCGGAATCCGGACCGGCACACTCGGACCGCGGGCCCGGCGCCGCTACCCCGCCGCCGACACGGTCGGACGCGGCCGCACTGCGCCAAAACGCGACGCGAGAATTACTTTTTATCTGTAAACAGCTTTTTATACCGGAAATTTTGCTCTGCCTTACAATTATAGCACTTTTTCGGAAAGTAAAACCTACTGAGGAGGTACTTTAAGGAGGTCCTTTTTCGATCCAATCGCTCGCTCGGACTATTTTAATCGCAAAATACCCCTCAAAGAATACTGATAATGTTTGTGTAGAACCTATTGGTATTCGTATATCTTTATTGTAACCACTAAAGAAATTTGTCACCGGCATGCCCTTAAATCAATGATCGCGTTTCAATTTCGAGTTTAGCTTTGTGTTTTAATCGATATTTATATGTTATAAATAAATAGGAACTACATTTTTAACGACCAATTATTTTTATTTCTTTCACTGTTATTATATTTTACATAGATACACGGAATGAAATACATATTTCACTACGTGTGTTGTGAAATAAACAATACCATTTACGCCTAAATTTTACAAAAAGAAAATTTACGGTTTATATATTGAAATTTCAAAATCATAATACATCATGTCGGAGGCCAGACAAATCTCAGTTTCCACCCAAGGTTCAAACTCGCGCAAAACACCGTCGTCTACTTCGGCCACCCTACGGAAAAAAAAAGCGTTTAAAACCTGTATAAAGACCACTGCGTTATATGCTGTTAGTTCCACCGATACATTGGACAATGAGATCGAATGGAAACGCGAAATGCACGAAACCAGAACAAAAACAAAGCAAACGTTAAGCGAATTTCGCGTTTTAATAGTAGCAGCGGTTAGTTTTATATTATATTATTATTTTATTACTTACTTAAAAGGCCAGTAAAAAAGAAGTTATGATTTGTTGAAATAGTACTAAGTATTTATACTTTCATTTACGTTTAATTTTAAGTTTCTAAAGATATTTTTAGAACACCTTTAGAACTCCGTTCTGTCCATCCGTCCGTATATTTATTAGTGCGTAACAAAAAATACCAAAATTGAAAATTATGTAACCGTTATTTCCGTATACTTTCTCGTTGTGCTTTTGTGTTTTCCCGGCTTATCCAATTATTAAGAAAACTACGCGGAAAATTTAAATAAATCTACTTCGTAAATTACTGACTAGAAACCATGGTATACTCTCCAAGTTCGGAGCAATATTTATGATAGAAAACATAAGTCGAACAAATTTTAAATAATGAAATCGGTAATGCCGCGGCTCGCCGGAAATACATGTCCGTTTTTATCAAATATTAGGTATATTGGTTAGAAAATCAAATAATTATTTCCTTGATACACCAAATAGATCCAAAGTTTAACGAAAAAAAGGCCTCTTGGAGTTTTTTAATTGATACCAAAATAACAACGCATAAGTACCTACTTAAATAATATTAAGATCTTTAAGTTTTTAGGTTTAACACATACGTGTAAGTATAATAAAAATTATTTCTTGGGTACGGAACTGTATAGTCTATTGTTTAAAGTACGTTTAGAAACCATGAACCATCAGCACGCTCGCAGTATGGGCTTTCCAAACTAGTTTGATTTTAAAATAGGTAAGTGCGGGTATTTTCTTCGAGTTAATAACATTATAAACTATAATAATATTACACCTACTTTTTTTTTTTTTTGTCTTGTCTCGAGTAATACGGTTATTAAAACATATTCGGGAAGGTATATGCTAAAATAATACGACCATAATAATTGGGTAAAAACATACTCGTATACGTTTCTAGATTTCACCGCCGAAGAGATATTGTATACATTTTAATCGCCACGTGTTTAATTATTATTATTATTTTTTTTTTTTTTTTTTGTTATAAGTATACGTTGTAGTTTATTTGAAATAAAATTATAGATGACGGTAATTTAAAAAAAAAAAAAAATAACGGTAAGGAACACGTTGTATATAATATACATACTATTAAAATTAACACGCGCTATTAATTTCTTGAAAAATAGACTGAACAAAACGTCGTATCCACAAGCAAAACGCGAAAATATATTTCTTTTTTTTTTCTTTTCCTGGCTCGTGGCTCGGCTTTTTATAAATCATTAACAATTCGCATTGTCGTTAAAAAATTGTTAACATTGACAATTAACGAGTTTTGAAAATTCCCAACAATAATATACTAGGTCAATCGGTTTAGTTATTGTCAAAAAATGCTTTACAGAAAAAAAATTCGGGTTTCAAATAGTAATCCGATTTAGATATTTTTTATTTTCTGTTGAAAAGATGACATGTTTTTCTACAAAGCACTTGAATTTTTGATTTTATGAAGCAAATAAGTTAGGAAAAATCACTCTGCGAGCGTAAAATAGTTTCCGGTTTTAAACGTATTTTGATCTTTAATCTGTAGTCTGTAATACCATAATGTACAGTTTTCAAATAATTTGGTAACCTAGTTAAAGTATATACTATATGCTTATGTAGAAAAATCTAAACTAAAACATTTGTTTAAAGTAAAACTTCATTTATCTATGGAATTTTTAATATTGATTGATGTTTGAAAATCCTAAGTGGGTAAATAATGATTCACCCCCAAATATAATGGTGAAAAAAATAAGGACAATGGAGTATTTTAGAATATGATTACAAAAAGTTTTTACATAAGTCATTTTTTGAAATATATTTATTTCGTGGACAATTTCAATGTAACATGAAATTTGAAAGACCACAAATATAATATCTCTTTGTCGACCAAATTAACAGCCATCCATTTATATTAGAGGAACTGTACAGATGCACCAAGAATGTAAAGTGTTCTAAACTTATACTTAGAAACTTAAAATCAAAAAAAGGGATAATTTGTCATGTTCAAATTCTAGTTATATAACTGTACCGTTTAAAAGTATAATTTTTAAAATCAAATTCCAATTGCAGTCTTATAAAAATCTTCTTTTAAAAAAAAAAAATATCTACGATATTTACAAGGCAGTTTGAGAGTTTTTCCTATAAAACATGTTGTTGAACGCTCACCAAGCTTAATATTATTATATTTTTTTTTTTGTGAAATTTTACTATAATAATAAATGTTTTTCACCGTGCGGGCAGTGGTGCAACCAGGCTTAATTTTGGATTGAACAAAAGGGGTTTCATTTCAAACCAATTTCTAGAAAGATTTGTTGGATAGTCAATTGCCTACTAAATAGCTGAAGTGGACGGCGTACATGCCTCAAATTTCGGTTTGAGGGTTTTTAACACCTAAACCCCTGACCTGGTTGCACCACTGCGTGGGGTTATTTGAAAGAAAATATAAAATCTAATTTTTTCCCCATTTACTCCGCAGTTGAAAAATTTGTTAATGGACACTCATAAACCAAGTATGAAAAACGCGCTAGCAATCCAATGTTGCGTGAGCATGCTGCAAACGGTGGACTGCTCCTTGTTAAAATCGGACAATCCGTGCGTGTCCCTAGACGAATTGGCCGCAATCAACAAACACCGTTTGTCGCTGCAGAAAAATTTTAACGAGATCGTTCGAGTACACTGTAAACCGCAAAAGCGTGGCAATGGCTTTTTGCAATGTCTCCAGGATTGGTTTTGTTGCTGTAATAATTCAAAATGAATATAAAAAGAGTATGAGCAGTATCAATATGCCGATTCTGGCTCACTTCTGATAATTTCACTTTAAAACAAATTTCTGATCACATTGATATTCACATTGTTTTATTTCCTGTTCTTTGTTCACATGCATAAAATAAAAATAATATTTGAAATAAAAAAATTAAAAAAATATATGAAAAAAAATAAATTAAAAAAATATAATTACAAATAATATTTAAAAAAAAATAATATTTGAAAAATTAAATTTCATAATATTTAAATTAACATTATTTTTTATTATTTGTTTTTATTAAATTATCAAGGTTTCTCTGAAATTTTCTCTTTTTATTTTAGTTGAATAATGTCCCCAAGCTACACTATCAATACCGTTTTCTAGAATATATCTTTTATCATCATATGCACTAAGGGTTTTTTTATTTTGTTCAACAGTATACATTTCATATTTATCTGTTCTAAAAGTGTTCTGTTTTACATATTTTGGGTTTTTATTGTTTAAACAATTATAAAAATCATTAAAACATAATTCATTTTTTACTATAGGTTTTTCACACCTTTTGCTTTTTTAATTTCATTTTTATTTTCAAATATTTTATATGTATATAATTTAGATCTTAACCCAACAAACTCTGTCATTATTTGACCATTAAGTTCATCTTTAAATTTACCTGGAACTTTTTTATTTATTCGTGGTATTCCATATTTATTATTCTCTGGATAATCTGAAANAATAAATTAGTTGTTTTAGTTTAGCCATTTTTTTTTTCATATGTACAGCTACTAAGTTTTCTGTAAAAAGAGTCGCTCGATCAAAATTTGGTTTAGCAGTTTAATTTTCTAATTTTTCTTCATCATTAATTAATTTTATATCTTTATGGTTTCTTGTGTTCATCATAGTCCTACCAAATACACTGTTGTTCATTAACTTGTAATAATATTTTTCAAATTCATTGTCTGTTTTTGGGCGAAGATTAGTTTTAATTCAATATATGGTCTTAACCAGTCTTTTTGTTCAAATTCTATTACTCTGTCTATTTTCTTTAATTTTAAACCTAAACTTAAATACAGCCTAAGATTACTATAATGTAGAATATATTTTTTCTTATCATATAGAGTTGTTGTTAATTTTGGTAATTCTTTATTATCAAATACATTTTCGGGAGCCAATGGATAATCCGAATGGAGATCATGAAGCTCTTCAGGGTATTTGAAATCTACTTCAAAAATATAACCTTTTTTCTGGTCGTCTTTCATTTTTAAAATTCTTTCTGTATCAAAGCAATCAGGATCAGACCATTTAAATCCTTTATGTGGTAAATATTCAAACATACCCCACCCATAAAGATTATTTGCATCCAAATTTAACAGATATTTCGGTGTTGTTTTTTCTGTTTGTTCTTTTTATATTTTTCTCCAATATATTTATTATTTGTTTTAGAATATCTAATACTACATTGAGATAATTCTCCTCTTATTACTTGTTCAAACATTAAATATATATCAATATCTGTTATCGATTCTAATTCTATACCTGTTTTTCTAAACATAACATTCCGTGCAAAACCTGGAGTTGTATAATAATGAACAGGGTCCAACTTAAAATGTTTTAATGAAAGATGTCTATAATTTTCCATTATATTTGTAAGTGATAATACATCTATTTTATTATAAAGTATAGTAAAGTCTTTCATATATCAATATCTGTTATCAATTCTAATTCTATACCTGTTTTTCTAAGCATAGCATTCCATGCAAAACCTGGAGTTGTATAATAATGAACAGGATCCAACTTAAAATGTTTTAATGAAACATGTCTATAATTTTCCATTATATCTGTAAGTAATAATACATATATTTTATTATAAAGTATAGTAAAGTCTTTCATATTTTTGATTTCAAATGTTTCTCATATTTTTTTAGCATTTTCATATGCATTTTGTTTTACATGTTCACCTGTAAGAAAGCTGTAAAATTTATCTATATTAGGTAGAGATTCTTCATTATATTTCTCTGGAGAATCCATGTATTTATAAGGATATGCTAATTTTCCTTTTACTACAACCAATTTTTCAGGAAAATGTTTAGATAGTTTTTTAAACTGATTTGGTTTTAAATTATTAGCTAATTTTTCTAAAGAGCTAGATAAGAAATTGAAAGAATCAAGAAATCTTATTTCAACAAGTTTTCATTTTTTATTTAAAACAGGCTTTAGTTTTTAGATATTTAGTTATTGGATCTTTTTTCACATATCTTACAATTTTTGAAAATGATATACAATTTTCTTCACTATTTGCAATTGTTTTTATATTATCTTTATCAATACCTAATTCTTTATGAATAAATGCGCTTCATAACCAGATAGATTGTGGAAAAATAATGGAATAAATCTAGGAACCTTATAATTTAGATTACATATTGAATGAGCAGCACCTCGATATTTTCCTGTTAAATGATTATGATCTCTAACTTTTTTCACATTATCCTCAAGATCTTCAATGAACATCTGTTTTTCTTTCTGTTTCTCATCAAGCTGTTTTTTAAAATATTCAATTTCTTTTTTCACATATATGACAGTTATTTTCTTTTTCAAATGCAGTTTCTTGTTCTTTTGTTATTATCATAGGTTTTTCACATCTAAATAATTTATTGCAATATAAAGTGCTTCATCTTTTATTTTTTCTTAAAAAAACAGCTGCATCTTCACCTGTATATGTTACTGGATTATTTTTACTAGTATTACTATATTTAACATTAAAACAAAAACTAACAGGTAAATGTTTTTGATATTTTTTTGTATAAGAGGTTGTATCACAAGGTTGACATGTATCAATTTTAGGAAGCATGCTTTCAAAATCAGCATAGATAACAAATGGAACTTTATAAGAATGACTGTATTTTTCGAATTAAAGAATACGATCAGATATATTTGGTAATATTGCTTTAGTGCATTTATTAGTTTTACAATATTCCTCATGATCTGTTAGACTTTTCTTGGTATAAAAATGTGATAAACATGTGTTACATAAATATGTTGTATGGTCATGTTTTGTTTTTTGCGAACAAACTAATCTTGATAAATTTTGAATCAAACAATAATTATCATATCATATATGATATATAAATTTGATAATAAATATATAATAAAAATGATATATAAAATAATAATGTACATAATGTATGATAAATTTTGAATCAAACAATAATTATCATATCATATATGATATATCATTCATCATCTGTTTATTAAACTAAAATAAACAATAAATTGTGTAAATTTATTAAATATATTCTTCTAAGACAAAAATATTTAATTTAATGTTTTGAATTTTTTTCTGATTTATTGGTATATAAGTTATAGTTGATGGTTTTATGATCAAATTATCTTGTGGGTTGTTAAAAATAAATAAAAGATCTTCTTCGTAGTGAATATTAACATTTTCTTTATGATTGGATATAGATTTTTCGACTATATTACAATGTAATTCTAAGGAAATATTAGATGTTTTACTTGTTGGATAATTTCCAATTTTCGAAAAATTATCAAACTTAATCCTTAGATTATCACAAAGAATATTATCAAACATAAAATTATTTTCTTCACTTTTAATTTAAATTAAATTACTATCGGAAACATTTATATTCATTTTAAAAATATTATTTAATTGTTCAATAGTATAGTTTGATCTATGAATATTAATAGATAAACCATTATCAAAATATATGTTTCCTTCTATGTTGCTTAAATATTTTACATTATTTAATTTTGGTGTTTTTTCAGCAATTTTAGTAAAAAATGTTTTTCCAGTCTCAATATCTTTTTGAGTAGGCCATCTATAACCGAATAATATTGAATATTTTGTAAAATTGCTATCTTCTATTTTATATTCAAAACCTAGACAATCAGATAAATATGAATCAAACCCAATTAAATGGAGATGATATTTTTAATAATCCGTTTTCAAGTGTAACTTTTGTGATTTTATTTAGACTTTTTTCTAGGTAACTATTAAATATTTTTTCAAGAGATTTTAATGAATATAATCCAACTCTTAATGTACTCGTTGGTATATGTCCGTTTCTCCCAATAATAAATTTACATTCTTGATTAATTTGTATAATCTCATCTTCCGGATTAGGTAATATAAATTTTAATGGACAATATCCAGCTATCGTATTATTCATTGTGTTAAAATAATTTTCTTTTTCAAGATCAAAACCTAAACTAAGGTTCAAAATTTTGTTTTACATCAATTTTAGTACATCGTAATTTTATTTTTTTAATTTATTTTTTTTCAAANTGTGAATATCTCCTTCTTCTTCCTCAACTTATCGGCCCATTAAGTGCCATCGCTGCCATTACAACACCTCTCCATTTCTCTCTATCGTATGCGTCATCAAAAGATGACTCTTCTACGTTTTTTATATCTTGATCTATAACGTCCATCCATCGGGTCCTTGATCTTCCTAATGGATGTTTTTTATTTATTTTATTAACTAACACTTCTTTTATTACTTGTCAATTCGCTCTCCAAACATGGCCGAACCATTCTAGTCGCTTGCTTTTTATATATGAAATAATATTTGGCCTGTTATATAACTCCTGTAATTCTTGATTTTTCCTTCTTTCGTAAGTTTGTGATTCTGCATTCAATTTCGGGCTGTATATCTTTCTCGGTACTTTTCTTTCGAAGGTCATTAATCGTTTGCTGTCTCCTTTGGTCAGTGACCATGTTTCACTCGCGTATGTGATTATTGGTCGTAAATAGCTATGATACAGTTGTGTCTTTGAGTTATGTGACAGTAGTTTTGATTTAAGGAGTCTCCTTATGCTATAGTAGCATCGGTTGCCGCATGATATTCGATTATTGATTTCTTCATGCATGTCGTTGTTGCTATTTATGTTAACACCTAGGTACTTAAATACCTCCACTTTCTTGAAAATATAGTCATCTACTGTTATGTGGTCTATGTTTGGGCTTCTTCTTGCTACCGTTAAGTATTTCGTCTTTTCCTCATTTACACGCAGCCCTATGGTTTTACTTGCTTTCAAGAGTTTGGACGCAGTATTTATGACTTCATCTCTAGTTTCTCCCATTATTACAATGCCATCTGCGTATGCCAATATTACTCGTTCCCCACATACTTCCATTTTTCGACCGTCCCATACTTCTCTCATTGCTTTTTCTAATGCTAGATTAAACAAGGTGGGTGATAGAGCATCACCTTGTCTAAGGCCCGATTTTACCTTAAAGGTTTCAGACGTTTCTTGCAGGAAACGCACTCTGCACACAGTTCTATTGTTACATCCTTTTATAAGACTTACGTATCTTTTAGGAATGCCTAGTACTTCCAGTGCTTTCAATAGTTTTTCTCTATCAACGCTATCATAAGCTTGCTTGCAATATGAATATAGATCAGAAATTTGTTTTATCGTGAAATTATCAGAAGTGAGCCAGAATCGGCATATTGATACTACTAGTATGAGAGCTATACTTACAGTTAGTATTGGTACGACGATACACTGTACTTGTACATAGTTATCGTTAAATACAGGTAATGTTATTATTATTATGTTACATAATATACCTATCTGTCTATGTTCAATATACACTTTTAGAGTTTTTAATATAAAACATCGAATCCATTTAAACCGTTTCAGTCGTATTTTATTCAATGCGAGTGTTGTGACGTGAAATTCAGTTTACATAATATAACAGCATGTGACATCACATTATGGACTCGAAATGGGTATGAAACAGAAATCATAATCTTCACCTCTAAAAGAACTGGCTCAAATGTGTTTTAAAAATTTCACTGTGTCTAGAAAAATCAAATATAAGTTTTCTGTCAAAATTTTAAGTCTCCACGAATATTTTTAACTGAATATATTAAAAAATATAATCTCACATTTTTACGGTAAAATAAGTCATAATGGTAAACGGGTTATTCGAACAACAATTTTTTTTATTTTCATTAAATATAAGAATTTCAACTTTTAACCAAGCGAGCAAAAATTAGTATAATCTACGTTATTATTGAAACTACTAAACTAAACGTGTACAATATGCTAATTATTGGAACTAAAAATCTATTTTATCTATTCTAGTTAGGTACTTAGATACGAAAATCAACTTCACTTAAAATCCTTCATGATAATTACTAGTTCGTGATAAAAAAAAAATCATTCTGTATATTCCGCGCAGTAGCGTGTAGAACGGATTTTTTTTTTTTTGTGAGACCCTGCAGTAGATCTTACCAAAAAATTGCCACCAGCACCGCTTATGAACAAATCAGTAATAAATTGCACTATAACAGCTACTGGTACAATTAATTCAAAATTACTTTTCGTAATCCAATACACGCCCAGTGATAACTCGTCAAATGACGCGAGTGAGCACTAAAACTTCGAATCTTAATACCGAAAATCAAATAATAATTAATGACGACATAACAGTGCCTCCTATTCTATTAATTTCTGATAGGTACTTACATAATAATATGTGTTCGTCTCTCGTGTATATATTAACGCACATTTCCCTTATTGTAGTTTTCAAAATATTCATCGCATACTGAGCCCGCGAGACGCCACCGGACGACCCGCCTACCAGTTTTGGTCGAGACACAATAGGCTCGAAAAAACAGTGAAATCACCAAACACACGTATTCCGGATCAATTTTCGGTGGGGGAAGGGGGAAGAGGGTTAAAATATTTTTAATATTTTGTAGTTAGTCTTTGTTATATTATAAATATATACCTACTTCAAAAATGTCCGGGGGGGTTTGAAACCCTAACCCACCCCCCGTGTATACGGTCTTGAAAATCACACGAACGCGTATAATAACGTTTCGTTACGACCGCCGTCGACTGTTGGCCGCGGTAAAACCGATCGAAAACCGTCTAGCGCTATCGTCAACCGACCGTAAATGTTTTCCAAAAAAAAAATAAAAAAAATCGGATGAGCATGTACCTCCTATTCATAACACTAGTCGTACGGGTAGACGTACGCACGGACAGAAATAATATTAATATCGTGACGTGATGTGAATCGTGGACGATGACGAAAAAGCGTCAAGGTTTATTTTCGACGTTTGCGCGTTTTATAAAGGTACACACTCTGTATTATATAACTATTTTTTTTTTTTTTTTTTTTTTAATACCCGACCAGCGAGGGTGTCGGCGTGGAGTTATTAAGTCCTATATGTGGGAACCGGGTCGAGTTAAACGCGGTAGCTACATCATTTAGCGCCCTCATTATAACATAATCAACCGGAACCCCGTGTGTATACCTAAAGATACCTACCCGGTTTTTTTTTTTTTTATAAATAACATACGAATCTGTGTGTGCGCGCGCGTTTGTGTACCACAATACAATATTATTTTGTCGGACGACATCACAACAAGGAAAAAAAAAAATACAAAAACAATCCGAAAAATCCCTTTTCTCAAAAGAAACCGAACGGGGAGGGAAGAAAATATGAAAGGAGAATAAGGAAAAAAAAAAAAAAAAAACGTAATTATTTTACTGTTTCCCGCGTGCTACGTGCTCGTTCATTTTTTTTTTCTCTTGTTTAGACGTGGGTATAGGTATAGGCGATGATGTTTCACGGCGGCGTGTTTGGTTTATCGTCGTTATTATTTCACACACAGCGACCGCGTAAGTCGTATATTATATTATGTGTATGCGTATGTGTGTGTGTGTGTATAGGCACGATAATAATATAATGTTTTATGATGAATTATACCGCGTTCCAACCCCATTCGGGGGGAAAAAAACCGGCTCTATACCGCGCTAAGACGTGCCCGCGTATACTAATATATATATATATATATATATACGGATAATAACCATAAAACGCATTATCGGTACCCGCAATCAGTAGGTATACGCATAGAAAGTATAACGATAATATAAATATAATTTGCCCCCGGTGGTGTGGGGGTCCGGGCGTATATTATTATAAACGCGTCGTCTCTGCACAGAGTATCCGTACGTGGAGTACACTCCGGAACTTTGGCGACGATTCCTCATATATTATTGTTGATACGGCAAACCAATTTTTTTTCCCTTTATCACGATTCTGCGGCGTTTATCAGCGAAGATTTTTCTAGTTATTACGATTATTATTATCAGTTATTATTAGTCATTACGATTTTTTTTACCCTTATTCCGTATCCACCATAAGCGTGCGCAGAATATTTTCACTGGTGGGAAGGGGGGGGATCATCAAACTACTACATATTAATAGGTACCTAATAAGGACTAAGCCACTGAAAGCCTTTAATATTAAAATTTATTTCATTCAGCTTGTATCATTATTTTGATTTACACATTTTCAAAACTACAAATCAAGTCAGCTAGTATTGTCAAGACGGTACTTGTAAACAACTTGAACAGGAAAAGACTACGTGGTAGATCGAAGCAACGGTGGTTAGAGAGGTGGTCAAAAGAGACATGCAGAAGTTGAGATCAGACTTGCAAGGTGACTTAAAGCATGCATAAATTAGGAAGGAGTAAAGAAGTTTGATATTGGTAGCAAATAGCCTAAATAGTTTACACTCTATTATGTTAAATAAAGAATGACTGAACTCGCTGGGGATAAAATTGCACACCTTCCACGCCCAATGCGCACGTCTATAGTATCCACTATTTGTTTCAATTCACGTTACACCGGCTTTAATCATAATCGTATTCGATAATACGACGCTCGCTCCCAACCCTTTTCAAACCAAATTCGAAAAGAAAATATCTTCCTAAAAATCTAGATTTGCATAATACGCTGCTGTTCATTGTATTACCGTAGGATTTACCATTATTATGACTAATAAATTTAATATATTTTAAAGTTCAGACCAAACGAGTAGGAAAAGGTTATTATAATTTTTAAGCGAATATAAAATTATATTAAATTTGTTTACGCCTACTAATTTAAGGTATATAGGAATAAAAATCGTAAAATAGTGTTGATATAAAACTTAAACAATTTACACGAAAACCATAAATGAAATTCACTTAAAAATCTCCGAGAAAATCACCGGGTCGTGATGATAAAATCATCATGTATAAGCACGCACATCACTCGAAATAACAACGGTAATTTATTATTCGTTATTATATTAGTATATTCTTTTTTTTTCTTCTTCTTGTGTGAGATATCTGTGCCACTTTTCAAAATAATAATAATAATAATCAGACCGAAGCGAGAAGATTTTTATCGTTCGAACTCGCGTACATGGTTTTTCCCCCTCCCGCCATTTTTACGATTAATACAATAAAATATTTTCACCATTTTCTCTCGTTCTTAATAAACAAAATTACAGTATTAAAATAAAACAAAGAGAAATGTTCGAACAATAAAAAAGTATGGAGGAGCAAACTGCTATGGTTTATTATTGTACTAAATCGTTTTCCAGCAACAGTATAGGCACGTACACTGCGATGAACAATATAACTATTGCGTGTAATATATATTTACTCATTTATCTTTAAACTTCTCCGGTGTTTATAGGGTTTGGAATTTTCTTACGTATTTATTATTGTTATCAGGGTGCGTTCGAGTACTCGTAAGTAGAATTTACTCTAGCAGAATGACGAGCGAATTGCCGCACATTTTTTCGAAAAGCGATTAGACAAATAAAAAAGAGCGTCAGTCCCGTCCTTCGGATAGCCGCCATGTATAGTGCAAACAAATTCCCGCGAAAATTCGAATAATTTTAAATATCACTATTACAGTGGACGTCGCTTATACTACTCACGCTGGGTTTCTTATAAGACTCGAAATCTTATAGGGGAGGTATTTTTATCTAGAATAATTGCAAATGAACCACGATCTTTTAGATTATGAGTGTAAAGCGGAGAAGATATTATATTAGTTTTTTTAAGATGTGTGCGTGTGTGATTTTTTTGGTAATATTTTCTAAGGATAGCAGCTATTCGTTTTCGTATAAAACTATACAGACTTATTGCAGACAAAAAAAAAAATAATATACTTATTTCTACGTAATTTGGATTTCAAACAACCGGAATAAAAATTGAACGTACGTGCGCGTTTAAGACGAGATTGCGCATAGGATACCGGCTATAATACGTGTGTACAATATAATATACTCGTATATAATATTAGATTATTATGTGTAATTTTAATAATTAGCATAAAAAATAATTTTAAAAATTACGATAATTATTTTATGCAACGTTGTAACGTGTTACTGTATTTTGTAACGAAAGATAACGCCTAATTATTGAAGTTGATGATTATCCTGAGACTCATTAAAACAACCAACCTGAAATCGTATACATCGTACAGGCACCTAGGCAACGTCATATAATAACACCTACATAATATTATGTGAAAAACTCGAAAAAATATAATGCGAAACATGTAATATAGACTTCAGTGCATAGGTACTAGATGGGTAACATTATCAAGTAAGTTACATAATTCGTTTTCATCAGCAGTATTTTACTTACGTAACACATGTAGATATATTATTAGTACACAAACATGCATCTAAATTTTATAATATATTTTCTAAATATTATTTGAGTGTCTATATGCTTACACCCATACACGCGAAATATTATTTTTTTAATAATCTTATTTAATATTCAGCCCGTACGAAAATGTATAGGTATATTTTTGTCGTATTAATCACGAAAACAAGAAGCTATTTCGTTGTATTTTTCCGTGTTTCAACTGTTAAATATTATCTGTATAATATATAGATTTATCCAGATTATATCTTGCCACTTACGGACATTTCTGGCGGCTGCCTCCGGATCAAAGTAGCTCAAACTCGGAGATTCGAGCTTTTTTATGGGCTGGTTATTGCTATTAAAGTCGGGTTGAATTTCAATATGATGTACACCGTGTTATTGCGGGTGAAAATTGTTTATTAGCTATAGATGTCCTACAAACTCCACAAATGAAGCCAGAGTGATGACATGTTATGTATGCGTGGCCTTAGTATGAATGATGCGCCTTTTAGGTTAGGTTAGGTTAGGTTTCAGCAGTCTCAAACTCCACTCTTACCATTTGTATAATCAAAATTCATTTTTTTTTTCTCCTGGTTAGTAGTATAATTGCATACTATGCACTGTAGCGCATAGTATTCGATTATTTAATTACTAAGAATATTTTTATTACACAAAATACGGGAGGAAAATTTGACTATATACTGATGGAACTTTGCTTTTCAAGAGTATTTTTTTGTAATTAACACAATATTACCTATTTGATTTACAGTGTAAACAAATGGTTCAGTTTTAATAAATAACAATGCAATTATTATGATAATATCATATTTGTATGTTTTTATTAACGATGGTTTTCAAATTATGTTTAGGAAATCGGACAGAAACAATAATGCAACGGTTGTTGTTATTTTACCACAAAATTATATTAATCAGAAATTCAGAATCGTTGTATGTTTTGCATATAATTATATGAACTTGTAACAATTAATTATGAACGCATGTGGCAATATAGGATATAAATCAAAAACGAACTGCAGTATTAATGTACATTAATATAATATAGATTTTAGATAAACATATACGAGAGAAATATAACTCGAGAAAATCTGCAACTGAGTAAAGATAGATTTCTTCCCTTTCTGTACGGTGAAATTAGACAAAGGATGTGCAGTGTTTACGTATGGTCATTCAATGCGGAGAGAATAAAACGAAACAGTTAGAACAACAACAGAATGGAAGCTGAAACTGGAGAGAGGTAATTCAAGATAGTGCTAGGTGGCGGAGTATATGGCCACGATGGAAAAAACTCTTAGAGAGTGGAGTATGAGAGTTAAACAGAGAGTATATTTATGTGTATCTTTCTTGTTATCAATCGTCAGATTGATTTGCAGTTTCCTACAAAATAATGGGTTATCCATGCGTATGATAGTAAGTATAAAATTATGTAATAAGAATATTTGTATTAAGATATAAATGTAATTGTGACGAATAAGTTAGCGAGTGGGGCGAGCGGTTTTTTTTTCCAGTTTTATTATGGGCCGGTCAAAACTTTTGCCTCCACCTCTCACAAACTGAAATGGCGCCACTGATTCAAAGAGGATTCGATTTACGCCGTTTTAAATAGGAAATTTCGATATACTTCCAGGTTTCAAGTCCATAATGTATATGACCATATTAATAGATTTGAAACACAAACAGTGACTTTGAGAAACTGTTGCTTTTCTATTTTTGTAAGATTTGGTAGTGGGTGGATCCACTTGACATGAACACCACTAAAT